GGAGGTTTTAACTAACTGCGTAGTAAATGCCCAAAGCGGATGTGAAACTGACGTGATGGTTAAATCCAGAAATTTGTTTCAGTTAATTAAATGATGATGCAGGTAAAGGGTGGGCGTTTCTGTGGCAATGTCTATTCTTATCTAACTTTAAAGATCACTACACAGCGCCTTATCAATATGATAGATAATACTTTCACTTGGTCTTGTGTACATGCCCGATGCAATTCCCTATTTCGACTTGTGCCATATGTTCCCGTGTACTTTCAGGTGAACTTTTGACTTGCCGTTGCATGTGTTTGTGACGGGGGCCACCGGTGGGTCAGGATTCGTAATATATATATATAAATAAATAAATAAATAAATAAATATATATATATATATATATATATATATATATATATCAAACTCTGCACAAACTGAACTACTGTTGTATATATATATACGTACTTAGTTTGGATAACGCCGCTATACCAGGGAAAATCATGAACACGGGTTTGGTGCTGACAAGCAAGGGAACATAATCTGGCACGCCTGAAGGATGCCACTCTACACAGCAAAGATAGCCATACATGTAGGTGTCACCAAAGTGTAACGTCTAAGACATGCATTACGGCGTTAAATCAATCTCCCTAACCTCGAAAGATAAAAAAACCCCCAAAAAACAAAAACGTTCTCCAAATACGTACATGCAAGATATCTGTACCCTGCTCTCAGCCATGTTTTTCAGTGCATGTCACCTCGAATGTCAAACGGATGTTTCTTTTCCAAGGTAGTTCATATGGTTGATTCACTGCGATTGACGTTAGCTGCAGATAATTCAGGCAATACTCTAACAAAAGGATGTACATGCATCTGTCGATCCGGGTTAGAATAGGTCTTCAGCAACCCATGCTTGCCGTAAATGGTGACTATACTTGAGGTAAAAGGCGACTAACGGGATTGGGTGGTCAGGCTCGCTGACTTGGTTGATGCATGTCATCGATCCCAGTTGCGTGGATCGATGCTCATGATATTAATCACTGGATTGTCTGGTCCAGACTCGATTATTTACAGACCGCCGTCATATAGCTGGAATATTGCTGAGTGCGGCGTAAAACAACAAACCAACCAACCAACCAACATGCATCTGTCCACGCCAGAACATTCCAGAATTCAAAACAGTTTCCGTTCTTAAAGTATTTTGTTGCGATACCAGGGCAAATATACAAAATGTTTTTGTTTTTTTAATTCATGACTGACTTTGTTCTTTTGGGCATTAATTTATGATTTGTCAGCAACTATATCTGGTCAAATTGTCATCCCTGTCCTGTTTGTCTTGAAGGATAGTTCACGTATGCTGTATATTAAGGTAAGCTTTGAATTGAATATAAGCAATTATTGCTGTCTATTGATGAGGGTTTTCTAAATACAACGAGACATCTATGAAACACAACACATTTGTAGTTTCATCCACAAACACGTCATATTTATTTGGGGACAAGGGTGGCACAGTTATCCAAGGCGCCACAATTCGCTGTGAAGAGTTGCGTCCCTTGGGCACGCCGGACTTCTATGATCGTAGGTTCGAATCCCGGTTCACTCCGATTACGTTTCAAGGTTTGTCAGTACCAAACCCGTGATCGTGGGTTTCACCAAAGTGGTAAACGTGCTTCAGGATATGGAAAGGGCTTGATTCCTTTTACATTAGCCTGACGAGCCGTGATATAACTGGACGTGTACTGTTCAAAGCGGCGTTAAACCGAACTCACTCACTTATATTCTTATTTGTGAGTGGACGGCCTCCGTGGTCTAATGGTAGAGCGTCCGCCCAGAGAGCGGAAGGTCCGGGGTTCGATCCCCAGCCGCGTCATACCAAAAGACGTTAAAAGGTGGTCCTTGATGTAACCCTGTCTGGCGCTCGGGATTAAGGGGCTAAAACAAGGACTGGTCGGCTCGGAGTCAGTATACTGTGTCTGAGTGGGGTATTCATGTTAAACTGCGGCATGGTATCTCAGTGTGCTAGCACTATAAATCGGCATCAGTCCGGACTAGTACAAGCAACCACACACACACATACACGTACATTGACGTCGCTATATAAGTGCAATAATCTTGGACGCCACGTTAAACCCCATTTCACCTCACCTATTTGTGAGTGAGTACATTTTGTTTGACTTTGCAGTAAGCAGGATATCAGCTACATTTCAGCAACCTGTAAATAATCGAGTCATGAGAAGACTAAAAACAGTGATTGACATCATGAGCACCGAACCGCCATCGCAGGCGCGATGTACACCTTATGTATTCAGTGTAGATTTTCATAAGTTGAGAACAGCTCTTTCTCGATTTCGTTGTAGCATACGTGATCTATTTATCAAAACAGGCTTATCTGTAGGTATAAATTGCAAGAGAACATAGACTTTGTAGGATTTGTAAAACTGATTGTATTGAACATGAATATAACTTTTTATGTGTATATCCGGTGTGTATAATGATTTAAGTGCACAAAATCGCACAAAATCTTAATAACTATTTCTACCACAACTCAAATGGTTACACGTTTTGTAAATGAATGACATATGATTGCACACAGAAACTATGAGCAATTTATCTATGTTCATTTATCATGCTATTAAACTAAGAGAATGTATGAATTCATAACACTCCCCAGACAATGTACTATAGGCCTTTGGTCGCAACAGAACCATGAATAAAGATTGATTGATTGACACACAATGAGAGTGGTCATACTGATCTGAATCTTAATTCGCCCTTATGACAAACTCGGGCACGTATGATGCCCTTGAGTATGGTCTTTAAATATAACACGCCAACCCCAGAGAATACCCAGTCTTGATTATCCGATTCAAAATTCCAGTGGGCGTCAAAGGCAAGATAGCGGAGACAATTATATGAATGGATCACTGAAATCAGTGATGACACCAGATGCTCAATATATAATCTGAATCATCCAGTCGACGAGGAGAGACTTGTGCGAACACCTGGTGTCATCACTGATTTTCAATGGTCCATTCATATGATTTCCACAACTTTTTGCCCTTTACGCCAAGAGGAAACTGTTTCGGCAGAAAATCTAGGCCGGTTATTCTCTTGCATTGAAAATTTAAGTTTTGAAGGAGGAAATGTTTTGTCGCTTAAATTTAGTAGCAATATCTCATAAATATCCTCATGTGGGGAATCGAACCTGGACCTTCGGTGTTACGAGCGAACACTTTAACCACTAGGCTACTAGGCCACTAGGCTGGTTAATCTCTTGCATTGACAATTTATGTTTTGAACGAGGAAATGTTTTGTCGCTTTAATTTAAAAGCAATATCTCATCAATATCCTCATGTGGGGAATCGAACCTGGACCTTCGGTGTTACGAGCGAACACTTTAACCACTAGGCTACTAGGCCACTAGGCTGGTTAATCTCTTGCATTGACAATTTATGTTTTGAACGAGGAAATGTTTTGTCGCTTTAATTTAGTAGCAATATCTTTTCAAGATCCTCATGAGGGGAATCGAACCTGGACCTTCGGTGTGACGAGCGAACACTTTAACCACTAGGCTACCTCATCACTCCACGGGGATATAACTATCTATACGTGGCACAGTAAGGAGAATAATACCTTAAATATAAAACTGCTTCTATTTTCGGATTCAGACTTAAACTTATACATTAATTACACACATAATTACACATTAAACATTAAAATTTTGTTTTCCTCAGACAAATGCAATAATTTTAAATAGAGATTCCAGGGGTCGTATCTTGGCCACCGATGATCTAACGTCCAAACTACTTGTAAAACATTACCGAGAGGGATGGAGTCAGGAGTCTGTGGCAATTTATTTACATCAAAGATCAGAAGGTAGTCCCGCAGTATTACCCATGTAGTAGTCCTTAACGTGAGATGCCAAGGGTGTGTTTCGTTGTGGGTTTGTGCGCTTACACATCATGAGACACTGAGTCATCCTTACACTGCTGCAAGGTAAGCCCTTGCGATGTTTTTCGCAAGGTGACATACACGAGCGTTGTCATTGTATATGCTGGGGTTCTTCTTGATGTCGTAATTTGGCTACACCTACCTTGCATCCCCACGGCAAAATGTGTTTATAGCCCGGGTTTAAATGAGATGGCATTTGGAGCCGTGTTTACCAGAAACTACCACTATATCGTTTAATTATACCTGTTCCCATATGTGTGAGTTGAGGTGAAATTGGGTTTAACGCCGCGTCCAAGATTGCACTTATATAGCGACGTGCATGCACGTGTGTGTGTGTGGCTGATTGTACTAGTCCGGACTGATGCCGATTTATAGTGCTAGCTCACTAAGATACCATGCCGCAGTTTCACATGAACACCCCACTCAGACACAGTAAACTGACTCCGAGCCGACCACTAGACCACGGAGGCGGTCTTATGTACATATAAATATAAATACTACAGTTGTGAATTGTTACGATATATTTTTTGGTTACACTTTTGTATCTCTATAAGAATAACTTATACAGAATATGAAGCTTCATCGGAGTTTCTTTTGAATGGATTAAATAAAAAGATAAGAACATATATTTCAAAATGGATGAACGAATGAATGATATATATGACTGTAATTGTTGAAACATATATTTAACTAACTTGTATTATAAAAGGAACACTTATGTATGCCACGTATGGTCACCCTAATTAATAAACAGTCTAATGATCTTCACATATTACCTCTGAAAGAAGGAATTCGATAAGCCATAGCTATCCAAACCACAAACAGCAATAATATAAGCCAACCAATCGATAGCACATTTCCCTGTGTTTTCAACTGACCCCTCCGTCCATGTGATAGCAGGGTCAATAAACAATAAACCGTCACGCCACGCTCCTTCAAGATGCCCACTTTTCCAAACACCTGCCGGAGTCAAGAACATACAAAGCCACTGGCGCGTTTTCAGAAGTCAGTAAAACTGTTTTGCCGCTGCAACTTGATCTACATCATCAACGTCTACTTGAGGCCGTAACGTGTATGTTGCCTTCAGTATCGTGGGTCTCTCGTATCAAATCTTGTCCTCGTATGCTTAATAGATCGGCCAGTCCACTGATATTTTTAGCCAGCGGCTATTACAGCGAGCTATTTCTACTTCTGTCCCAAACACTTCAAACTCTGTCATTTTGAAACAGAATTCCCCATTTGCTTTGTAACTAACTTTCCGACGGGTTGTAAATCTTATCAGCGGGCGGACTCTCTGGAGAATTTTTAAACAAATTTAGGAAATTGAATCGTGACTTATAAAGATTTGTCACAATTATCCGATGGACAGCAATTTTTCTATTTCAGATAGAGCGGTTCCTATGTGAAAGTTCAGAGGCGTTCTTTTTGCGAAGGTGACAAACAACAGGCCGTGGCATATATCAGGCAGAAAGGATCGTCAGGATGGGATTCAGATCTAAGTGTAGCTTGCTAGCGTTAGCTAGCAGCGATGGACGGCAGTAGGTTCCGAAACTGGGGCCCTAGGAGAAATTTAAATCTGGAAGAATCTGAATACAACGAAGTGATACAGATGAGGAGATATTACACGTGTTCTGTGTTCATTATGGTTACTACTGCCCTGCTCGTCGTAATACTGTGCGGTAAGTCGGCTTTGTTTACTGTACGTTCTCATAGAGAGAAGGTTTTTCTTCTACCTGTTGCTTCACCGTTGTAAGCTGGTGGGGCCTGGCGTTGTGTGGTTGTTGGGATCTTTTTCAACCTGGACCCGTAATACATGTCACAAATCTATGTAATACATGTCACAAATCTGTGTAATACATGTCACAAATCTGTGTTTAGGCTGTGCTGTGTAAACCTTCGTTATTTATGACCATGTGTCACATTGTGTCAAGGGGTTATCATTGGCGTGTTGTATATATGTAACAACTGAAATGTGGTACTCGGTTATTCGATAATGACAAAAAGGAAGATGTTTCGTATTTTTGTCCGAAATCGTTTTGGGAAGAATGAGCAGAGAGTTTCTGTTGATATATATTTTGATATTTTATTGTTTACACCAGCCCTGTCCTTGTCTGTACATAGTGACATGTCAACATATATAACACTTTTCGGGGTTCGTTTTTTTCAGTAATGTCAATACCGAAACAGATGTTGACGTAATTAACACAGAAACGTTCATTTGTCACATGTCGGTTATACGTCTGTTGAGTGTGGATCTAATGTAAAATCAACATTAAAACACATAGTTAAATTACAGTGCAGTGATCGATTGGAGAGAGGGATATGTGTAGGAAGGCATTGGTGATTCGAGAAAGATGACAACATGGTAGGAGGTAAGGGAAGCAGTTGTATGCACTGTTGAATAACGTGACATTGTGACATGAAATAGTTGAGTGTTTTGAGGACCCAGACCGTGACATCTGTCGTAAAGAACCCCATATTCTATCCATCAAGTTGGCGTGTGACCTTTCCCCTCCTGCCTGGAGCAAGTTATGTATGTTCCATAAAAAATATCCTTTAAGGTGAACTTGGGTGAAGGAGACACACATCGATGAATGAAAGTTTCTCGTGTCAACAAGTTGTTTAAGTTCATTATCCTTGACGTCATAGTGACATCAGTGGTGCCTCTAAGATGCCATTTTCTTTCATTTAAACAGTACAAAGAAAAAAAAACAGACAAAAAAGTGTAGAAATGACATTTCCGAACTAGAAATCCCCCACCGTGTGTGAGCGAATGTTATTTCCCGCCGCATCCAGGGACATTCCTGTTATTTCAGTGCGGTCTGTGAATAATTGAGACGGGGCCAGTCAGACCTATATTTGAAAGCATGATCCCTGCCGTCAGGGACAGCCAAACCTTTAGTTGATAGGTACTGTAAGGTGAGACACAGGCAGCCACACATGCAATCCTCATTACTCTGTTAGGATGCCAAAGCATGGAAGTAAGGGGTTAATTCAGGCCCCGGAACCTGCATGGGTTAACGATGAAATCCCTAGGGCCCATGTGGAATTACACGAGTCTCTGAGAAAATACACAAGACTCTTGAGAAATTATTATAATTATAATTACATTGATTTCATTTCTTGCTAATCTTATTTCGTACCAGAAACCTATGATCGTGTGGGTTCAAATCCCTATCGCTCTGATTATGTTTCTATGTTTGTCAGTACCATAATTGCGCTAGTGAAGTTCACCAAGTGGTAAACATCTGAAACCTACTTCACTTATTTTCATTACTCATCAAGCTGACACGTTGTGGAAAAACTGAATTAGTGTTCGAAGCGGCGTTAAATCCAACTTACAGTTGAGCATTCGCAGGGCCAGTGTGCACTGAACTTTTTACGATGGAGGTCTTCAGATTGAGCGTGTGAGCCTTCAGATGAGATGTTTCATACGCGGATATGGTCTGCGAATCAGTTTCAAGATAACCGAATTGATAGTAACGGGTTCAAGTGCATGTCAAGATACTGCTGAAGGAAAACCCAACCACACGTCACAAGCGTTACATATTCTCCAGGTCAGTCCGCCCGTTATTGGTCCAGTCCCAGTGTTCAGTGGTATAGGTTAAACACATCAAGGAAATGAAATATATGATGATGATTGTTATTATTGTATTAAACCCTGGGAAGTATACAACCAAAATTGCATGTTTGGCACTGGAAGGTTTTAATTCACGTTACCATTTCCTTCTACCTGGCACTCGTACACAGCGATTTCATAAACTAGCATGTTTATATTATTACGACACAGTGACGGTTTATAGCCTGTCTTTTCATAGGGGTCGGGCCATCTACTTTCAAGCCATCATAACCCCACATGTTGTGGGACCGCCTCCGTGGTCTAGTGGTAGAGCGTCCGCTGGGAGAGCGGAAGATCCGGGGTTCGATCCCGGCCGTGTCATACCAAAAGACGTTAAAAGATGGTACTTGTTGTTACCCTGTCTGGCGCTCGGCATGAAGGGGCTAAAACAAGGACTGGTCGGCTCGGAGTCAGTATACTGTGTCTGAGTGGGGTATTCATGTTAAACTGCAGCATGGTATCTCAGTGGGCTAGCACTATAAATCGGCATCAGACCGGACTAGTACAAGCATCCACACACACACACGTGCATGCACGTCGCTATATAAGTGCAATAATCTTGGACGCGGCGTAAAACCCCATTTCACCTCACCTCACCTCACATTCGGTGACCTGTATACAGTGAAAAGGACCCCGTACTACCTTGCACGCGTATCCATCAGCTGGGAAAAACAAAAGTAGAAAGGTTCAACGTAGGAAGCCCATTTCTGATGTCCACGTCATATTGAAATAATCAATAATGAAAGTAGAGAGAAGTGTCTTTCCTTAGATACCGAGATGATGACATGTTATCTATGTAGATAATCTCGTGCACAATATACACACGTCAGACAGCACTGACGGTAACGCCTTAATAATGCATCAAACCCGACTGTATGTCGTCTATACGCTAGTAATCTATGTTCGGAGTGTTGAAAACAGAAACACTTTCTCGTTATACAAGTCTCACAAGTATGTTAGAAAGTTCAATTACATTGTGAAAAGTCAGACGTTGCAGTTGAGACGTCACTACTATCCATTTCTACTTTTAGTGATGCCTGGTTGTGACACATGCATGAATACTCCAAAAATCTTGAGGACTTAAATGACACTCCCATCACCAATACCTTTTTTAATGAACAAGAATCAAAACGTCCCTGATCCAAGCAATGATGTTCACATTAATGAGTGCTATATTGATGTTTACCTGAGATCTAACCAGAAGATCTGTACTTTTTGAATCCAAGCTGACAAGCCATAATATTGTCAACATATCCTAGAAACCCAACGTACCAAATAACATGTAAAATTATGTTACAACTAAAATAGCAAAACATGAAACCACCAAATTATGGGATTTTGAAACTATGAACTCTATACCAAAGCCACCGTTTGGGCAGGTGAACGATGGACATGCCTTTGCATGTGTTTGTGACGGGTTTCTGGGAAAGGACAAGATACGCTATATTTTCGCTAACACCTGGTATCATCACTATTTGATAGTGATTCATAAACACATGCTCATGACAGTCGGAATCGAACAATGTATGGAGATTTCTTATGATTATGCAAAAGATTTGTGTGGCTGTTGTCGTACACTAGCGTCTTTAGATTTAGTTAAATTCGTTATTATGTTAATCCGCATGACGCAGTATGCTTAGCTGTGATATTGTAGAAATGGGCTAACGTTCGCTAATTGTCTTGAGTTTATAGTAAATTCCTGACTAATTACCCCTGTTGATAGCCCCTGAGGGGTTAATGACCGCTGAAACCGGAGACTCGACGTCTGTGTGTGCTTGAATGTAAAAGCCAGGGCCCACGTTACTGGATATCGAGCTGGTAGAATAAGCGAAACGACCTATTTGATAGTTCTACTATTGATAACGGTTGACCGGTTACCACAAGTGGGCGTTCTGGTGGGCGTAGGTTTTACTGCGATTTGTTTCAGAATGAGGTTTCGAATCGTGGTTGATAATTTCCTAAAAAAACCAAAATCTACAACATATTACAACCATGTTGTGATATTTTGTGGCAATGTTAAAATGAATGGACACATATTTCTAAATGTTCCTTCCGATGATAACCGCTTCGGAGGAGTATAGATCGTCGGCTTGACGTGTGTTTGAGCATAGCGACATGCAACCTCCACAGTGTTTGTCATCTGTAACTTTATTTGTTATTCAAACTTTTTTTCCGGAAACGAAGGTACTGATGTACTGCTTCGATTTAAATGATTAAATGTGTGTGATAGCTGATTAAATAGAAGGCTGCTGGATAGCTAAAATTAGAAGGCAATTTCCAACACAGATATTCTTATACGAATGTGTCTTCCATTGCAACAGAGTACGTGGTCAATTATGAAATGGACGATTACCATGACGGCTGCAGAAACTAGTGTCTGTTATGTATGAATTACACACTAGAGAACTCAAACATACATCTGAAGCCTGTATAACACTACAGCTATCAGAAATAATCGTACATTATATTAATAATATCGTGCAATTTTCATTGTTCTTATTTTGTTGTCATTATGTAGACAAAATGAAAATAAAACATTAATTTAATATAGTTAGGGCTTATTTGTATTAATATTCCGATGATACGAAATTGCTACATGAAAATTTAATTTTAATATTAGCAATGTACAATTTCCAAAGGCTTTTCATCCACAATGCTAAACCTGATAAAATAGGTTTTATTTACGTTTTGTGAGGCATTAAATTAATCAAATTTGGTTCACGGTTATAAATGATCATGTGGAAATATCACGTGTTTATAGAGATGTAATCCACGTGTTGTTTTCATATCATGTTATTATCAGCCTATGCAATACGATGAAACTGATGTAACTCGTAACTGATGTATTCCTCACCATATATTCTTTCATCAGGTTAATCTTGTCAGTCCTACACAAGATAAGGCATATCATATGTACCGATATCGGGGCTAGACAGACAGTGAAGGAGGTTGATGTACAGATATTTGTGTAGCGGGACTCATGTATTAGCGGTGTGCGGTAGTATTGCTTTCCTGAGTTATTCACAATGTTCGCCACAAACAGAACGAGAGTCTCAGTAG